ATACACACTCAGAAGTTTACTAAAAGTATAATATACAGTAAATGCTATTTTCCAAAAAGTCTGATTTGGTTATATGTCTACACATATCTTATTTATAAAGATAAATTTTAATATACAGATCCTTTACAATGCTAATATGCATTATTCAGTCAATATTGCAGTAGTTTACGCATGTATAATATATTTGACTGCAGTATAGCGTATTTCATAATGCTCTGGGCATTTCATAAGTTTTTTATGTTTAAGTAAATATAACACATATTATTGCGTTACATTATGGTAATGTACTGATAGATACTTATGTATATACTTAGTAACATTTATATTAATAATATGCAATATTTTCTTATATTAATAAAAAGCACATATTCAAAATATAATTAATTAAATGGCAACAAACTCACCTTATCAAATAACATTATTAGTAAAGTAACATGCTGTGTACTCAAATGTTGACTACATTATTTATTTGTAGTATTGGCGGCCTAATACAATTAATTAAATATAAAAGTAACCATTCATAATTATCTGTATTTATTTAATAATACTCACATGAACAATTTATAATTTTGTAAATAAGTTCATAATTAGATGTTTTATAAAGTATTTTTAATTCAAATAACTAACAATTTAATTAATCACTAGTTGTAATAAAATACAGCTTTAATTATACTTACTTGTTTTGTATTTATTTTATAGTATTAATATGAACATGTAATAATTTTTTAATGAACAATTTGATTAATTGTTAATTTGTTTTAAAATGATTATTCTCATAATACATTATATTGATACATTTTAAATTGATTTATATGTATTATATTATTATAATTTATAATAACATAATCAGTCACTAATAGACAACTATAAGCTGTTTAAACAAACCCCACAATTGTATTATTATTTTTATATAAATTATTTTAGCATTATTATATTTGTATTACGAAGCACTATACTAATCTTATGTTAAGCACTTCAAGATACATTATTATTACACCCCAATTACTATATGCTTGGATAAAATTCTTGTATTGAAAAATACATTTATTAATAACTTTACCAACAATACGATTTTAAACGAGCTGCCACACTCGTAATATTTGAACACTCTAACTATTGCCAAACATGTTTCAAACGCTGAATGATCATTCCGTACCCTGTTTATAATCTGATCACGCGATAGTTAACCCTCGTCTGGACACACAAATAAATTTAATATAATATATTATACTATATTGTGCTGTTTACATGTACAATATATATTTTATACCTTTTGTTATATCATTACAAAACTTTTACTACATATGTCGCTGCAAATATGAAATATAACAGTGTTTGCTAGTAATTGGTAAATAAATAAGTTACAAATGAATGAACTTTGTTTGTGTGTATAGGGAGTAATAGTTACTATTAAATGTGACTATACTTGTACAATTATGCACACAAAAATGTACACTAATTTAGAACTTAATTATTCATCAATTGATAATTGTAAAAAGTTTGACTAGCACCGAAATATACTGTATATAAATTTATATTTATATTATAATAATCTGACCAAATATAAACTATTGCAAAATGCTCTAAAACACTGTTGATTGCACTGTTGTGTATACAATGATAAAACACAATAGTTTGTAGTTGGGTTAAAATTTAAAACAAAAACAGTTTTAGTATAAGACTATAAAAATTAAAAATAAATTTTATTTGACAAAACTAAAAATATTTATTATTATTTAGTGTATTAGATTAATTAATATACAAAAATGGAAAATGAATCAAAAATATGTACGTTTCAGTGCAAAAAGTGGACACTATTTTCATTTTGTTTGTTTGGTATCATTAGTACCCTGATTATAGTAATTATACTGTCAGCCGTTATAGGTGCTGCACAAAATAACGACAAAGAGATTTCCGACCAAGACTTTAAAAATGCTAAAGTATGTTAAAGTAGCATGCTACTTTAAAAAATAATTTAATATTTAATACTTATTACATTATTATTTTTATTAAAATAATGTACATTTTCAAAATTAATTAACACGAAAATGAAATATTATATTTTTACTAATTTATGTATTACCTTGGGCAGAAAGTAACCATCGCTATAATCGCTACTATAGGCTCCATATGTATATTATTTGAATTACTGGGCCTTTTGGGCGCCTATAAGGAGCACTACTGTCTAACTATGACCTACGCTATACTCATGTTTATGATGACGTGGGGCAGTATAGGTGGCGCTGTAAGGGTTGGTACCTTTTGGTTCACATTTGGTGTTAATGTAATGATTACGACACTGGCTTTCCTATACGCCCGGGACCTCCACAGACGTCGATACCAGTCCACTGCAATGTATGTAATCGGACGACCAGCCTATAGTAGTCTTACAGAACCCGTTAACACATACCCGGCCCCGAGCTATGGGGCCACACCGGTATACATATAAAAATATCCCATAAGTATTTGGTATGTATTTTATTGTTATAATTGTGATTGTTAGTTTTACGATTTAATAAAGAAAATATTCAAATAGCTTGTTAAGATTATATTTTATTTAATAATTATTAACCTTTTAAATAATAACCTTGTAATATATATTATTATAAATAAAAATATTTTGAAAACAAAATAGTTATGTATATAGAATTTCCATCGAATATTTGTATCATGGTCCAAAAAAATGTTATAATATTGTGTCAATGTTAATCAGATATTTGTTATTGTAAACAGTATACATTATGTGTCTAAATTAAAAACGCATGCTCCGATATTTGGTCTTGCTATTATTCAAATAAACTTTATTGATGACTTAAGTTAGTTGAATAAAATCATTTATAATACAATATCTAAATGTGGATAACTTTTAATAGGGAGGTAGTATTTTATTTTATTAAAAGTAATTTTATTTAATAAATAAATTGTCAATAAATAATATAAACATTTTGTTGATCATATAATTGTTGACTTTCATTGAACACATAAAACAATTTTTACAAACTTTAAATTTCACAAACAATTTTTTTTCATTTTGTGTGGGTACTATAAATATTGTATTAGTTGAATTTGTTTTGTACGCCCATAAACTAGTCTATATAGTATAGCTATTTCATATTACTTGTGTAATTTGTTTTATTTCTAAATAATAGTACATTCACTTAATAATAAAATAAAACCTACACCGTTTAGAGATTGATCTGGATTAATAAAGTACTTTGTGAACATTTATAATATATTACACAAATACATGTTCTGATACACAATAGTTAAACTTTATGACACAATATCATAAATATCTCTAATTTAATATAACACTAATGTAAACAAATGTAACAATATATACAGTACTATATTTAAGATTTAGTGCATGATGACTAGTTAAGCGACCTTGTTTAAGGACAGCAATAATTAAGTCACTCACAATTAACAAGCAAATCAATACTCAAGTAAGAAAGTTAACATCAAAGTTAACTATTAACTTGATTGCTAATTGTGAGTGAGTTCAGTATTATCGTTTTAATGCTTAATAATAATTGGCTACTTAAGCATTTAGTTAGAAATTATGTATTAGTAAGATTGCACCAGTAAGATTAATACCAAATTCAATAAATCCTGTTTACTATATATGAGCCAGGGAAAGCCAGACAGAACTATGTCCAAATGCAAATACATTATAATGAACTTTAGGTAACTCACTGGTCAGTATATTGAGTGCAAGGTAAAGGATATAAGTTTAATTTAGTGTCAGTTAAGCAAAACATGTTTTGGCAAAAAATATATT